TTCATATTTCTTATATGTTCTGCAATTTCACATTAAACTTGATTAGAAAATTTCCTCCTGCTCCTCCTGCTCCTGCTCCTCCTCCTCCTCAGTATTAATCATATGATGAAGTAAAATTGATGTTATTTCATCTTAATTTCATTGTATCAAAATACTTCGTACACTCTTCCTGGTACAAAACTAACATTGTTACTTCTTCACTTTTTTGTGTGTGATCTAATTAGCAAAAATGTGATCTTGTGACTGAAAGTGACCAATCCCAGTGCATTTCAATTCACTAATAACTGAATTGTCAGTGTTTAGCCAATTCATTTCATACTTATGTTGAGTTTTCCCATGTCCATGCTTTTTACCTGCCATGTTGCCAGTGTAATTCTGTCTCTGCACCGTCAGTTTTTATTTTTCTGCATGGCAACACCAGTAACCATATATTCAAAAAGTTTTAAAATAGTTTCATTTTAAAAGATCCTCAGCTCTTTCTCAGTAGCATATTAAATGCCATCTGATCCTGAGGTACACATCATCTAGCACCACGTGATCCATCACTTTATAAGATTTGCCAGTGTGGCTCCCTTGGTAAAAATATGGGAGGGATTTACCATTATCTTCTCCCATGTAAACTCCATTATACTTAAATTCTTCCATTAAAATTATTGGAACTTACATTTATTATAAACAAGTTAATGCCTTTTTTATTTCAACAGGTTTATTCAGAGTATACTGAAGTCTGTACATATCAGTGTGTACATATTCTAGCTATGCCCTATCTAAGAAGAGGAAAATATTCTAAACTAAAATATAAAGAGAGAAGAAAGCAAGAATAACAGAATAACAGAATTGGAAGGGACTTTGGAGGTCCCGCCCCCTGCTCAAACAGGAAATCATATCCCGTTTCAGACAAATGATTGTCCAATCTCTACTTAAAAACCTCCAGTGTTGGAGCACCTAGAAAGTCGTTCATTTTAAGATTAGCTCTTCTTTGATTCAAAAGTTAGGTTAATGCTCCTTCTTAATTGAAGTTAACTGAAGAGATTTGTTCTATAGTATGTTTTCTTCCCTTTACTAATTTTTGTCCCAGATGAATACTGGTCTGTCTGAATGACTTCCTCCCCCTTTGGAAACCTGAAGAACTGAGGAAAGACCTTTTTGAAGATTTCTCACCCAGGAGAGCCTTTTTTAATCTGACACACAAGAGAGTATTTTCTCCTGTTTCACATTTAGTATGGAATGTACTGCTTCTGGAGTTGTATTTAGTTCTACTTTATCTGTTTTTAGATAAGCAGCTGTGCTTATGTTATTGAAATAATGATTATTGAAACCATTTTACCTTACCTTTGTAATCATTGTAGTTATTCTATATATCTTGAGAAATTACCTGAATATGTTCTGAATTGAGCAGAAAAGCAGGCTATGAATCAAATCAATGAAAAAACATTGAGTTATTCAAATAACTATTTTCTAACATTTCCAACATTTTTTAAAGGTACTAATATAGCTGGTGGCAAAACTTTAGAGGATATAATCTTATTATTTTTTTGTAGAGAAATTATATCAAATTATATCTATTTCTAGGACATATCAATCCCACTTGAAGTTTCATTGTCCATATAAATATGAGTATGGACGAAGGCAGATAATTTCAACAATTAGAATAAGGAGAACATCAAAACTTTCTGCCCATAACAGAATTCACATTATGAAAACTTTGTGCTGATAACTAGAGGGAAACAGAAAATGTTGTAGTTATTGGGAATGTATTAAAATTCTGTAGTACACATTTTCAAAATAAAAGGCAAACTCACAACTAGGTCCAAATCTTGAGAAATTTTAAATTCCCCCCTTACAAAAATTGTTGGTCTTGAAAGAAAATGCATTCCTATATTAAAATACAACTTAGGGCAATCTCATATATCACAGATGATGAAAGCTATCTAGCAAAACTCATAAAAGATGACTAGGCTTAATACTTAATAAAGCATGTGTCATTATTTATTTTTAGGGCCAGGACATACAGTGATAGTACAGCAAAAATAATGCATCGTCAGAACTAAACACAACAGGATTTGCTATTGAAATTATGTACACATCATCAAGTGAAATTTCTGGATTAGGTAACGTAAATATGACAAATGTTTAATTGTTTGGGAATATTGATCAAATTAATCTTAATCTTTAATTAGAATCTGAATTTCAGGAATAAGACAAGTTGCTACATGGAATTAATGAACATTTACATTCCTAACTAAAGAAGAGAAGTTTAGAACAGAACCATTATGCCAGTTTCAGACTACCTTGATTTCAGTAGAGAATAGCTTCATCTAAATAGATTTTATGGGCAAATCTTTTGTGATCATAAATATTCCCTGTGCAACAAGTAACTGAAAAACCTTGGCTCCCCAAACTTCTAATTTGGTGCTTTCTTATCATGTTAAATTACAAATACAATAATTTTATTAGCAAGTCCATTACTTCTGCTGTTTAATTGGACACATTCCCAGAAGAAACATTTTTAGATTGGGAAAAGCTAATATATTACCAAACTGTGTCTATGGAGATTCTCAGTCATTTAAGTCATTGATTGATTAAATTGATTAACTGAACTTAGAAAGTACAGTTGCGTTTTGAACCTTTGGTACATTACCAAATTGTATTAAGCATTTATCTATGTATCTAATATACTATTGTTCAGCTTGATTGGACAGAGATGGTCCCACAACCATCCAAAGTAGTTTTCAACCTTATCCTTCATCACGTTCATGACATATGGCTATGTCAGCAGTGCAGAATATAATGCCATGAATACAAATTCTTTGTGTTTTTCACTTTTTAAAACAAATATACATATAAATAAGCACATTTAGTTTTATTACTATTTAACCATTCATTTATTATGAATATTTATTCTATTGTTCTGTTAATTCCAAACTCTTGACACTCAGAACAGCATTAGCATCGTAAACGTTATTGATTCTTTCAAAATACAATGTGTTATGTGAACTAGATTCTGTTGAAAAGGGAACAACTATATATATGATCATATCAAATGAATTAATGCTGCATCAATAAAAATAACCCATTAATTTCTTCCTGAAAAGAGGCATAGAAATCCAGTAAACATGAACTAATTTTAACAGTATAAAATCTATATAAATATGCAAATCAAATGCCAAAATAGTCTAGTGATTTACATGTATATAACACTTTATTTATTCTGTTCCACTCTATACATTTGAATATGACAGCCAGTTAGGTTTAGTGGTCTAGGCTAGGAAGTAAGATACCATGATTTTAAGTCCTGTCATAGGTGACTTTGGGTCAGTCATTCTCCCTCAGCCCAACTCCAGAGTAGTTACAGTGGAGATATGTTAGATATGTTTGCTGCCTTGAAATATAAATAACAAAGGTGTAAAAATAATAAAAGTGTGATACAAATAAATAAAATCACAAAAAGGTTGGATGGTTGGTTGTGCTGTGTCAATTCAGAATATTGTGTTCCATACACCATGTTTATGTTCAGCACAATTAAGCATGTTGTGAAACACAGTATAACACCGTTTAATTGAGAGGCTGTTTTTAATGTCAAACTGGGTGACAATTTACCTTTGCTTTACTTTTTCATATTTTATCAATTAGATAAATACATTAAACCACCTACAGCAAAAGAGACATAGCCATCCAGAGCCTACCAAATTCAAATTAGATCAATACTACTGTCTCAGTGCTATGACTGACCTGAGTCCAAATTGAAAGGGGCTCAAATAATCAGCTATAAGCTGACCATTTTCTCAAACCTCCATAGAGCAGCAGTGGAACAACAGCTGGCTGAAGAATTGTAGGAGTTGAAGTCCACACATCTTCAAGTTTTCAATGTTGAGAAACACTGTCCTAGAGTAATACGGTTGCTTCTTGAGAAGGAAGTGAACAACAGTCTTCTACAAAGTGGCTAGATTCACCCTTTCCCATGAAAGAAATGTTCCCCACTGCATGTATCCAACCATATGGTCCCTCCCTGGAGGCCTTATACAACTATGAGGGGCATGAATCTATAACACACAGCCCGATTTACAGCTAAAGGGAAAGCTGATTAAGCACTAATCAAATTATTTGCAATGAAAAATAAATCAAATGGCAAAAGAATAGTGGCAATCTTAACATGAACAAAGAAGCTTGCTAGGAACAAATCTTGGCAGAGATTTGCCATAATGAAATACCAAGTGTGGTTGTTTTGGAATGGTATTGAAAATATATGAAAGCAAACAACATCACAGCAACTTTTGCATAGATAGTTTGCATGCTTGTAATAGTAAAAATGCAATGACTCTTTACCATCCTGCTTAATCTAGAACATCTCTTTTGAAACTAATAAATATAATTATTATTAATTTTTTATCCCACTTTTTAAATAGATAACATACTTAATACTCTTGCCTCCTCTTTTCTCCACAACAACCCTGTGAGATAGGATAAGAGAGAGTAGTTTCTAAATGTGCTCGCCCAACATCACCCAGTCAGCTTTCATTCCTAAGGCAGGCTTTATTCACAGTTTCCTAGTTACTAGGCCAGCACTGAATCACTACACTAAACAGGTTCTCTAGTTATGGAACAATCTTATTCCAAGAAATAACATACAGGAAATTAATCTCCATTCTGGTTTGCACCTGAAAAGCAATCAAATAATCAGCTTCATATTTTTTAAAAAAATTATAGACCAGTGCCTTAGCATAAAGGCTGCTCCAATCACATATGGACAAATCAGCGTTTGGTCAAACTGGAAGTGTCCATTTACACTTGCTATAATAGATTTGGTCTGGTGCCAAGTATGTTTCCTGAACAACTCACATAAATTCAAACATTCTAGTTTTCTGTAATAAATGTTCAATAAACCAAAGCACAGAATGGCATAACATTGTTTGAAAATTCCTTGCTAATACTTTTCTACTTTTCTTTTTAAATTTTTCTTACAACAGCAGGATTCAAATACCAACCTCCTGGGTGGGATCAGGTGCACCCAGATATATAAATAGGCATTCCACACCTTTCTTGTTCACACTGAAATTGAGCTGTTGCTCTAAGAAGCAAGAGGGCAGAAAAGGTAAGGTTATTGCTGCTTGCGTAGAAAAGGCCCTGTTAAAAATATTTTATGCTTGTGAGTCAGGTTACTTATTAATAAGCAGAAGTAACAAGTAGAGCAGAGATGATGAAATTTAGATAATCCTAACATTCTTTTTGACAGGAAAAAAAAATCCATTTTTAAACAGACCTTTGCAAGTACACAACGTATTTTTACAGCCAAGATACATTATTTTCAGTTATTTGCTTTCTCCTTCTAGCCTGCCAACAGTCCTTCATTTACTGTGCTTTGATTTCCTGTTTGACAAGGGCAAATCCATTTCATATCTTTTAAGGCTGCACTTGTTTTTGAAAGGGAACAGCTTCTGTATTGTACAAAATTGAAGTTTTATATCTTTTCATGTTTCTTAGAAAGTTTGGAGGAAAAGGGAATTTTTCTTTATCCAGTTTTTCCCCGTTTTCTTTCCATTCATATTTTTCTTACTACTACTATCAAACCCCAATCTTCCACTCTCTAAACTCTCACCATCTATTCAGCCTAACCATAGACCATGCTGGCTAGGCATAATAGGACTGCCTTATAAAAATGTCATTATGGAATACTCTAAATACACTCAGGGAGATGTAGATATTTAGACAGACACGTGTATACACACACACAGAGAGAGAGAGAGAGAGAGAGAGAGAGAGAGAGAGAGAGAGAGAGAGAGAGAGAGAGAGAGAGATCTACTTTTAATTCTCCTATGGCTTCAAAAATTAGATATAATAGCCTGGCATCTTACATTACTTTATTCATCCTTTTAATCATCTCCATTTTAATTTTACTGATATATGTGTTACTATACTATAGTTATCTCATTAAAAGTTTAATCCAAAGCATGCTTATTCAAAGTTAATATCTACTATTTATAGCAATTTTGTTTGCTAAAAATATAATTGTTCTCCCTAATGTATCTGAGGCCAATCCCTCTGTATTATAATTAAATCTACTTACAAGTTAGAGAATTGGACTTAGATGTGATCATGGCTACAATAGATTTAAGGCAATATTCCAGATTGTAAATTTCAAATCACAAAATTCTTCATCCAGCTACCAAGGTATTAGACTATAATATTGTTGGTATCTCAGAATCAATAAGATAATTTATAATTAGCTAAGGACCCACTGATTTCCATGAGTTTTATTTTGAGCTTGACTAAGTTTATATCCATTCCAATGTGCTAAATACAAAAGCTCAGAAATAGCATTTTGTTACCATTTTCCTGAAGGCAGCACTGCTGATGAGAAGAATGCTAAAGACTGATTTTGAAAGTGGCATGATCCTTAGTAACTTTCACAGTATTCAAAAGAATCAGGCTTGAACTCAATTTGGTAAGGAGAGTAGGGAAATGTAACCTGCCCGTGACTTATAAATTGTTTAGCAATTTAAAAGATAAGAGATGCTGAACTCTTTTAGCATCAACATTCAGCATCTTGCATGTGTGCTATTTCTAATAATATTTCAAGTTAGCTAATTATGCGATTAGATTAAAATAGAGTACACTTTCCTGAAAACAGTCTGGGGTAAATCTAGATAAGATCACCCTAGAAAAAAAAAATCAGTCTTCCATCATGAGGCTTTGTAAAAATGTTGGATTTAATCTGTGAACAAATGGCAAAAAGTTGGCTGTCACTTGTGGAATTGGCATCTAACGCATTTGGGGGAGCCAAATTTAAGAAAAGATTGGTCTAGATCAAAATACAAAATGCAAAGCCACACTGTCATGCACATGGGCGTGCAGTCGGTTTTAAATGTGTTTATTCTTATTTAGGTGCCATTGTATTGATTGATGGAGGAAATTCCCTGATAAATATTATAAAATGTTTTGCCTTCATTAATATAACATGTATAAAATATTCCATTCTTAATAATGTTTTGCTTTACTATCAACTAATAGCAAATTCAGCAGTAATTCAGAGTAAAATTCAGAGTAAAAGAAGCAAGAGAGAAATTAAGCCTTGAAACCTGTCCCTGCCCTTATTCTTGGGGAAGCAGTTTGTTCCTTTATGGTGCTTATTTCAATGCAGGAATTTTTAAAGGATTTTCATTCACTGTACATGACTTCCTCCTACAAAACCTGTAATGAATATTATTGTAGATTCTATAGTAAAAATACATTGAATTAAAAAAACCCTGACTTTTACATTCTTTTTGAAAGTGTATACAAGCTTCTCTACATAGCTTACAAGTGGTAAATGTCAAAGTACATTTATCTAGACTGTAAATATCTAGTTTTTCCTGTATTTTGTAGCTGCTATTGAACAATTATTCAGATTTTTGCAGCTCTTAGTATATATCATACTAAGGCAAGGTTTGCTTTTAGATTAGTATAACTAGTGAACTCAACATTTAATAAATGATTAAGGAAACTTAATTTTGGAGTGAATCTCAGCTTAGAGTGATGTTTGAATCCAATCTGTAGTTCAAGTGTAACACTCACTAGTTGTGAATACTCTTTTCAGCATTCAAGCCCTATTCCCCAATAGGCACAACACAAGAGGAAAGGAAAGGAAAGGAAAGGAAGGAAGGAAGGAAGGAAGGAAGGAAGGAAGGAGGGAGGGAGGGAGGGAGGGAGGGAGGAGGGAGGGAGGGAAGGAAGGAAGGAAGGAGATCATACTTGGAAAGAAATTCATTAAGTTCAGCAGTGCTCAGCATCGAAGAAGCACATATAGGCTTGTGTTGTAAATTTGCCTAAGTAGTCAGTTCCTCACTAAATAGAGAAATTCTACACCAGTGCATGACATTTAATGCATCTTTTCTTTCTTATGTTTTGCTATTATTGTTTTTTTCTTGTTTTTTTTCTTGCTTGCATTCCAAGACTGTTTTTTTCTCGCTCCTTAGATTTAACAATGGAAAAATATATAGTCTCCATCCTGATTTTGGTTCTTGCTGTCTTGAATACCCTGGCTAAAGAAACTACAACTAAAGATGAAAGAAAAGACCCAAAAGAACCCAAAGAGATCCACCCTAAACTTCCACAGACTCTGTCAAGGGGTAAAACCGTGGTAGCTGAACTTGGTGGAAAGCTGTGTATTTTATGCTGATCATCTTCTCAGTTGTTAATCAGGCCTGCTTATTTTTAGGAAGTGATTACTGGAATTATCCCAGTGATTTTCCTTCAAATAATTTTCAATTGAAATAATTTTAAAATCAATTTTTAAAAGCCTAGTATTCTTAACAAATGTTTGACCAGTTTATAACATTGTTTCTCAACCTCAGCAACTTTAAAATGTGTGGACTTCAATTCCCAGAATTCCCTAGCCTATATATCTTAAAGTTGCTGAAGTTGAGAAACACTGATCTACAACATGGAAAGAATCTTATGTCTCAGTGTGGACAATGTAAAATGGAAATAAAGCTATTATAAGGATCTGGTGATTTAGGAATATGATCTGAGGAATATATAGATATTTATACATACTATTTGAAAGTAAGTTCTGTTATGTTTAATGAGGTTTTAATTAATTGAATAATTTGCTATGTTGGCTAGAACTGGCAGGAACTGGGGCATGTGATCAAAGGGCACATGCCTAATCTTGACAACTTTAAGATATGTCAATTCCCAGAATGCCAAAGAAAAGTAGATATTGCACAAACAGTATCCTTTTAAAAAATGTATTGAAGTATTAATCATTAATCAGTCTTGGGAGGGAGTTAACAGCCTTTACAGATGATAATTTTTAGAACTTATAATTCACTCTATGTTTATCAGCTTCTGAATTCATATTAATAAATGAATTCAAAAAAATGCTTGCTGTTAATCCATATAATCAAAAATAGTTCCTTAAAACACAGGGGAATGCTTGGATTAAGAAGTGCATTGTGTGATAGATCTACTACAATATTTGTTCAGATTTGAATGAAGTTATATATTTAAGACTTCTTCAACAATGACATATTTAAACTAAATTCCATTTGTCATTTATCTTCAGGCTGGGGTGATAAACAAATCTGGACTCAGACTTATGAAGAAGCTCTTTTTAAATCCAAAACAAGGTAAAATGTTCCTTTCTGCAAGTGCTTTTCATTGTTTTATGAAAAATTATTTGACTTCCAGTATGAGACATTAATAAAATATTTCTTTTAGCATATTTCAATTAATGATACTGTGCATTACCATTATATCACTCTCTCTTTCTTCGTTTACTGTCTTTCAATCTTATGAAAAAGAGCTGCTTTCATTTTTTCCACCCGGAAAGATAACAACCATTTAGGGAAATTCTTATGGGTGGGTTGTCGTATGATCTTGCCCTAACCTTTCTTTCTTCCACAATAAAATCACCATTACACCAGTCTTCAGTTTTCTGGAGTTTCTGCATTTCAGTTAAATCCAATAAAAATTACATGATGAGGAAATTCCTCTTGGAATTTGGAGCTTCTATGGCTTGCAAAGAAACAGGAAACAGACTTCACAGTAATAGACAGAAGTGATTAAATAGCACTACAGAACTTGCCACTTCTTTTAAAGTAAAGTCATCTCACAAAACCACAAAAGAAATGCTAAAGAAATTCTAAAGCATTCTGGGAATAAGATAGAAATGCAGAAACATCTTTTGCAGGAGAAGAAATTTAGGAAAACATTATTTCAGCATTATGTTGATTAAAAATTAAGCACAGACTTGAGAGAGATATAGATCCCTTCCAGATACATTCTAATTTTCATCTCCCCCAATCACCATAATCCATTGGCTATGCTAATTGCACTGAGTGAAATCGTAGGCCAATACAATGGGGTGTGCTTAGTTTGGAAAATTTAGCTAACTGAAATTCTATTATGGACCTTTTTTTTTCCCCCAGCAATAAGCCTATAATGATCATCCACCACTTAGAAGAGTGCCCTCATAGTCAAGGTACTGTTGTTTCTAACAAATGAAATGTTTATCCGACCTAGGAAAATTAATTACTTCCTTCTATCAGAAGGTGTTTTTTTTTAATGACCTGGAAAAGCAGCTTGTTTTAACTCAGTTATTAAAAAATGAAAGATATAATTAATTTGAATACAAGATTTTGTAGTAGCCATGGTCATAATTAGAAATGAAGTGTTATGATTTGTAAAAAACAATATTAATCCTGTTCATATATAAAAAAGAAAAAAAATCCAAGTTTTAAAATCCAAAGACAATTATTGTGATAGTTCTAAGTATTTTTTTCTTAAAATAATTTTTCATGCTTTATTTCTATAGTATCATACGTGTGTGATTTTGAGTCACTTTTTGACTGGACTAGTCCCTGCAGTTTTCTTTTCAAGATTTCAAAAGTGGTTTGCCATTGCCTACTTCCTAGGGCTGAGATGAGTGACTGGCCTAAGGTGACCCAGCTGGCTTTGTGCCTAATGCAGATCTAGAACTCACAGTCTTCCAATTTCTAGCCTGATGCCTAAACTATTATACCAAATTGATTTTCCTGTATAGTATTACTGTTTCATTTTACATTGAGATATACCAGTTATTAATATAATTTATGAGTTTGATCTGATTTGTACTATCAACAGACATATGATATTTGTTCTATTTTTTTAAATAGCTTTTATAATTGTTATTCTGTTTTAGCGCTGAAGAAGGCATTTGCTGAACACAAAGATATACAGAAATTGGCACCAAACTTTATTCTTCTCAATCTTATGGTATGTTTTCAGATGATGTTTGAATTATTATATCTGGATATTTATCTAATGGTATGTTAATCTATTTTACACAAAGCATTTTACCAAAATGAAAATGACCTGCAAATAATTTGAGAAAATGGAAGCTATTTAATTTAATTTAATTTAATTTAATTTAATTTAATAATTTAATTTATATACCGCCCTTCTCCCGTAGGACTCAGGGCGGTGCACAGCATATTAAAACAGACAAACAAAATACATCAAAGAACAAAAAACCCCCATAAAACCAAATTAAAAGCCAAATATTCGAAGCTGTGTGTCAATTAAAATTTTCTTAAAATCA